CCCTGTATATGTATGTAAAAACTGAACCCTTGCACCGATTAAAGTGAAATACAATACCAACCCTCTCCTAATGACAATAAATAAATGTGCCAAAGTAGAAGGCGATATCTCAAAAATTGCGGAGGAGAGAGCGCGAACAATTATTGCGCACATACACACACACAGACATTTTGGAAAAAAGTGTGTTTTTTGGTGGATATCTCGAAAATTGCGAAGGTGGGAGCGATAAGAATTATATTGCGCACGCACACACACACACACATTTTTTAAATTAGTGTGTTTTTGCAGTTTTTAGATTATACTAAACCCATTGGCATAGAAAACCCAAAAAAAAATTTTCGCATGAAAACAAAGCTTCCTCTATGAGGAAGCAAAAATGAAAAAACTAACCGATCACTTGAACTCCATTTCCGAGCAGGGAGATCCTCTTGACCTCTTCCCCTTCATCGTTGAACCTTCCACGAAAACTTGTCGATTAATCCTGGCAGCTTTTAATGCCGCAAACCTCAAAATTTGAAATCTCTCTTACGATACGGCGCCGTCGCAGCGCGCTTGCGCGTGCGCCATGACGCCCAAACACGATTATTACTTGCACCTTCCCATCAAGACAATTGGTTCGTCGTGGTCGTGTCGGCTCAGAAACGGAGCCGGGAGCCAGAACAAGATAAAGAAGAAGAAGAAGACAGTGCATGTTGAGGTTATTTAATAGTTGCTTTTTCAAGCGGTCTTCAATATGCCGTGCTGGTATTATGAAAAAAAAGAACTTCGCAACACACCGTCCATTCAGGATGGCATCGATTACGATACGGAATGTAGATATCGAAAAGAAGGCGCTCGTTTCATCATAGACACTGGTACAAAAATGGATTTAGGTTATAATACGATGGCAACGGGTGTCGTTTATTTTCACCGATTCTACATGTTTCATTCCTTCAAGAACTTCCCGCGATATGTAAGTGCACATGTGTTTATAGAGTTTTTCTTCTAACTCAACTAATTTCATCTCGAAACTTGCGTTACTGTAACGTTACAGGTAACTGCTTGCTGCTGCTTACTCTTAGCGGGCAAAGTTGAAGAGACTCCAAAGAAGTGCAAGGACATCATAAGGACTGCCAAAACTTTAGTGTCGGAACAAAAGTTTATGACGTTCGGAGAAGATCCTAAAGTAAGTTATTCAAACTTTTTAGCGAGGCGACCTCTCTAGCTATCGAGGCTTTCTTTTCTCTTTCTCAGGAAGAAGTGTTGATTTTGGAGAGAATTTTACTACAAACTATTAAATTTGATCTACAAGTGGAACATCCATACAGTTATTTACTCAAGTACGCAAAGTGTTTGAAAGGTAATTTCAATACGATGTGTGTTGTGAAATTTAGTGTACTTTCCTAAAGAAAACTTGTTCCATTTGTAGGCGATAAAAACAAGCTGCAAAAGATGGTTCAAATGGCTTGGACATTCGTTAACGACAGGTATGGAAAGTGGCTCTTATTTCTAATATTACAACTAATATTATTACAAGTAACAATGACTCGTATGATAAATCAAATAAATGAAATAAAGGGCTCAGAGCCAGAACAGGATAGTAGTATTGAAAAATCTTTAATTATAAATGGATATAGACGTTTCGGTCCTTATTGGACCATCTTCAGTATAATAAAAAAAGAACACAATTTAAAACATTATTAAGCTAGGAATATAAATTAAAATGCAAAACAACATATACGCAGTCGGTTCGATAAGATTCTAATAAATAAAAAGACAACATATTAAAAGATAGCGCAGTCAAACAAATTAAAAGTGTAATATACAATAAAACACTTCACCTACACAGTCCAACATGGCTATAGTATTTTCTGCCAACTTAATGCGTTTAATTTATTTGCGGTTTTACTTTATACATCTACATTTTATTGTATATGTGTTCTTTTTTATTATACTGAAGATGGTCCAATAAGGACCGAAACGTCTATATTCATTTATAATTAAAGATTTTTGAACACTACTATCCTGTTCTGGCTCTGAGCCCTTTATTTCATTTATTTAATATTATTACTTGTCTGTCCTTGTAGCTTGTGTACCACTCTGTCGCTACAGTGGGAGCCAGAGATCATAGCCGTCGCTCTAATGTACTTGGCGGGAAAGCTGAGTAAATTTGAAGTGGTAGATTGGGTTGGCAGGCAACCGAAACACTTACGCTGGTGGGACATGTTCGTCGAAGACGTGACTATGGATCTTTTGGAAGGTTGGCGAAAATGTTTCTCGCGCAACATTTTTATTATATGCTAATACGCTGTATTTCTAGATATTTGCCATCAGGTCTTGGATTTGTATTCGCAAGCTAATAATGCGAAACCGCCAGACTCGCCACCCATGATACCACCCAGCGAAGTCTGCAGAGAACGATCCGTCGCTGCTACTAGTGTAGAATCCGCGTCCAACACGCCAAACGGTGAGTAACAACCGCTAGCTCCGATTTACATGCGAGCTAACAATGTTCGAATGTTACAGTTACACCCGGCAAGTCCTCTAAAGGCATCGAGGCATCCGCGACGGTTTCTGCAAACGGATGTCCGGCTACAGACATCGCGGATACGATTAAATCGATAGATACCTCGACGACTCACTTTCCCACGTACTCGACCAACTTTCCGGTGTCCAACAACACCAATTATCCGCCAGCGTTTCCACCCACGAACGTTTCGGTTCCTCCGCCTCCTGTAAATACAATGAATCATATTGTACCAACGATCCATCACATCGGATCGTCCGCTGCTATTCGTCCGACGCCACCACCGTCGGCACCGGCCGCCAATCAAACCGCTTTCCAACCATATTCCTACCCAACGAACGCTTCGTACTTTTCAGCGAATAATCCTATTCCGCCGGCCGCACCGCCTCGCGGCTACTATCCTTCGCAACCATAGTGGAGAACAACGCTCGTAATATCTTGATTTAATTCAACTGTAAATTTCGTCTGTACATATATATATATATCTACGTATGTTTTTTTCTATACCATACATATACTTGATTTGACAGTTTCGAAATAAAGACAATTCGGTCTATACTTGACTGGAATAAAATTAAACGTTTCACATGTAGAGGTTTCCTTTACTGAAAGGACTTTCCGCAAACTTGGGTTGCTGTAATTTACAGGGCATTTCGTCGGTTAAAATTTGTAAAATTGGTCCCGCACACTCGGAGTCCAACACGAAACTGTCCATGTACAATATATACAGCTTGGCCGGTATGCCGGCGAGTTCGGCATAAGATAAGACTGAAACGGAGAAACTCTTGAGGTTTTGCTCTTTTCCGAAGTTTCGACTTTTGTACAACATCCTTCGCCACGGAGTAGACGTAAATACGAACCTCCTGCCCCGACTCCGAATACAATATTCGGTTGTTCCAACGGCTCGATCCCGCATCTTGCGACATTTGCCCTTTTGCTAGCCAGTATTCTTAAAAACGAAGGAGTCTCTGGGACATTCGTGCTCTGAAACTGCGACACGTGACGACACACTACCGAAATTATGTCGTCCGAGCTTTCTAGCAGATCGTGCATCTGTAAAAGTAAATACCGATGTTACTTTGTTAATTCAAAGTTATCGTACAAGAGCGACACGAGTACATGCCTGTTTTACAAACGTCGCGGCATTCTTTGTGTCAAACTGCGGTAAAATGACGCATATGCACGTTTGCTTGTCAATTTTATAAATGACTGCAACCTTCCTACCGCGGCTACCATTTTCACTCTCTACGACGCACACTTCTTCCGTGTTGCGACACAAACATTGTTGCACGAGAGCTAGAATCAAACGATTGGCTAATTGAAAAGTTACTCTCGACCCATACAGCACAGATGGTTGCAGTTACATTGCAGATTGCACTGCAATCTTGCAGAGACATTGCAGGTTTATAAAATTGCAAACTTTCGATAGCAATATTGCAGCGTTTCAAAAATAATAAAAATATTATATTTTCTATTTGAAACATTTTTCTAATTACGAGAATTTTATAATGTTATTTTCGTTGATACCAATAATGCGCTAATTATTAAGTACTTGATCAGTGCGGCGTTGCTCGCAATCTCCATCTATTGCGAAGCAACATAATCTCCTTATGTTGCTCCGCAATAGCTTGTTGTGTAGTGAAAAAGGCCCGGATACATATATAATTAGTAAATTCTCTGCTTATGTACCACAACAAATTATTCCAAAAATATTGCACTGCAATCTCTCTGAGGGCGGACATTTCAACGTTGCAGCAATGTTGCGGAACGTTGCTGCAATATTGCAATCTTGCAATGTAACATTTCTGCAATCTTTCTGTGCTGTGTGGGGAGAGACAAGGCAGATAACTTGCAAAGCAGTGTTAACATTACGAATCAACGGATCTCCCTCCACTATAATAAGCTTTCCCAGGCGTTCTGGTTTAGTCTTCAGCCAGCGAACGTACAATTTCCTGAAATTGCGCGATATCATCTGATATACGATACATAACAAATCTGACTACAAGGAGCGTGACGTAGTGGTTTCAATTCTATTCTACTCACAGACAATGTCCCGTATCGTCATTTGGCTCGTACTCGTCCACGTCATCCCAGAATGCTCGCGACGATGGAAATATCACTTCTCCAAAGTGACTAACCATTTTTTAACTGAAAGTAGAGAAATTACGAGGTCGTGCGCAAAGCTAATCCTGATCCGCGCCAACTCGGGTTTACACAACCTAAATGTCCTAAGCGAATGCGCGGCGTCAGCCGACGACACATGCGCGCGCAAGCAAACACGAGATGGACACTTTAAAGCCCACATTACACCACGTATGCTGCGTCACGCGGGCTTTAACATGTAGAATCGAGTGGAGCTATCTTCGATATCTCGCCGCGGCGAGCATCGAGTGTACGCGCGAGATTTGGTCGAATTTACAATTTCGATTCAATCTATTGATACAAATATTATCATTTCAATAATTTGATATAATTAATCAATTAGTTACGACATAATTGGCTATGCATTTCAATTGTCACAACAACGTTTCGACTGCAAATCGCAGTCCTTTTCAGGTTTAGTTACGAGACAAACATTATCGGATCCAAATCAAGACCATTGTGACAGCAATAAGTCTTATATCTATAACGAATATACATTATGAATTAGATTTTACATTATAAGTTGAAATTGTCATTGTAACTCTCACGTAATGTTCGTCAATTAATTATAAAACAAGTTTTTTGAATTAGAGTAACGAGCAGGATCATGTGTCCAAAAATCTGAGCGTACATTACGATAATTACAGCACACACTTCGGCGGTTGGGGCGGCATTACCGCTTGTTTTATAATTAATTGACGAACACTACGTGTGAGTTACAATGACATTTTTGATTTATAACGTAAAATCTAATTTATTCTGCTCGTTGCGCGAATTAAAAAAACTTGTAAAATTAATTGAGAAACATTACGTGCGAGTTACAATGACAATTTCAACTTATAATGTAAAATCTAATTCATAATGTATATTCGTTATAGATAAGACTAATTGCTATCACAATGGTCTTGATTTGGATCTCGTAACTAAACCTGAAGAGGACTGCGATTTGCAGTCGAAACGTCGTTGTGACAATTGAAATACATAGCCAGTTATGTCGTAACTGATTGATTATATCAAATTATTGATTTAATTACTGGTGAAGAAAAACATTACCAACAACTAATTATCATTTTATAAATAAATGAAACGTAGCAACTATTAAGTAACACGTGATATATATATGTATATATATATATCTTGCGATCTATTTATTAAAAATATGCAGTAACTTCACATCGTGTATGCCATTTACTTTCAATTAGAGTAGAATATGACACAATAATATAATATTGTCCGCTATCTACGCAGGCTGTCCTCGAGACGCTTCTAGCACATAACTTTCAAAATATATCCTCACGTCGGCTGTGTTGATTCGTTTATAAAAGATCCTAGATTCTTTCATTCTCTCTCGCGGTACAATTTGGAATTTCTCACTACGGAATCGTCAACTTTCCTCACTCCTTTGGTCGAGACTATTCGTAAATGTGCTGCAAACTCTCGCGTTGGCGCGTGGCTATTATATCCCATATGCCCCAATTGCCATCATGCGTACGGCTTACGGTACAGAGATGATTATCTTCTTATTAATCGAGGCGAATTGTATTTGCTTGCTCGTAACATAAACACGAAACACAGTGTCGTTTGCAACAACAAATTCACATAGAGTATAAAACACGGAGAGTGCACAGGCTACACGCTATTAATTCATTGAATGGCGGCTTTACGTACAATTATTTGTATTAAAGATGATCTTTGGATACGCCGCTCCTCCAAAGTAAAAAAAGAAAGAAACGCGGGGCTAGGGAGAGAGCGTGAGCAAACACGCCAAGTACTTTTGTAGTTGCTGGAATGCTGTAATCTCTCGGAAAATGTGAGGATAACAAGTTCGTGTTATTCAAAGTACATCTCATCTAGAGCAAAATTACGCGTATCACGCGAGAAGGGAATTTGAAAACTTCTTGCCATTTCCAATTTCACACAGTGCCTTACGCTTTAGTTTATTGTACGCTCTTTCCGCGACATGTTTCCTCTCCCTCTCTCTCTCTTATATGCACATACGTACTAAACTACTAAGTGGACTACTAAACCGACTAACAATAAAACCTGCATCGCTCTTTTGCTGATAAGAGAATGGCGATAAAAGGTTTTTACAAAATGCGAGAGATAATCGTTGGGCAGGCAAGAAAAAAACAGAAGAAATGCGTCACAAATACATACATTTGTCATTCACAAAGGATGGAATTGGTTAAAGTAGTATACTAGAGAAAATCGAATCGCCCTTGCGTCTTAGGTCACATACAAAAGCGAATCGTGCACGATGGCATATATTATAATAAGCAACACGTTGATTCGAATTCATTCATTGTCAGTCAGTTATAGAACACTGCATGATACAAAACACATTGTGCATCGTCGCAAGAATGAAAATCAAGTGACTTGATAAATCTAGATCTAGACAGTTCTTTCGGTATCTTTCGCACGAGTACGAATACGAGTACGAGTACGAGCATGAGTACGAATGCCAAACGAATGGCTCAACACGGCCTGATGGCCCAATAGAGACAAATGTGTGCACTTTTTTATAATGCATCGCATTATAATAAATGCAATTTGTTCAACTAGATTCAAACGACGAACACCACCTTCCTCTTATCGTTAGCTTAACAAGGGCACGGTTAATGCGAAACGTCCTGTTACATTATTTAAACGATTGATTTTCTCCTTGTGAAGAGAGGAAGATAAAAAGATAAACGAGTATTAGTAAAAGCACACATCTCTCATCTCTCGAGAAAATATACATACAGGGTAGGCCATTTTAATCTACGCACTGAAATCTCTCAAAATCCATAAGTTTAAGGCAGAAATGTTTCAGACAAAAGTTGTTCAAGATAATGGGGGTCACCTATTTGTGTAACTAGCTTTGACCTTGAGACTACTTTTCAAGGTTAATTGAAGGTCCGAGTGGTTTTTTAAAAATGGGAACCCCTATTTTTTATTACATATTCTTATAGCTTAAAGCTCGAGAGCTTTCC